AATAAAAAATGCAAAATGTCTAAATATGTGATGCATGAAATGTCCGAGGCATTGATCCAAAAAATGTGCCTGTTATTCTGAATAACCCTTATTGGTGACAAAAGTGTTACGTCTGAAGAGACAAAAAAAACTCTTTTGATGGTACAAATCTTGTACAGCTTCTGACAAGTTAATTCGTCTTTTTCACTAGTTGAATATCCTGTCGCACCATTCCGGCTCCTTTGGCTAAAATGTGCAAATAATGAGATGCTTGCCCCCAAAAAAAAAGATCTCGAAGGACTGCATCTTCGACTTTCACTTTCTACCGAGCTTGTTTCTAACGAAAGTGTCATTGGAGCCTTCCATCGAGAGAAATTATCCGAAGCTTGCCTCTTGAATTCGTCAGTAATGACATCCAGCTCAGCTAGTGTTTTACCATCTTGTTCTTGTAGTTTTCGAAAGGATCGACCGGGTCAGTGACCTTTTCCTCGTATTGCCCCTGTAACTTTGCCTTTGAGTATTCTTTGACCACGGTTGGACTTCTGTGTTTTTTTGTTTTTTATCTCTTTGTATTATAACCCATTCGTCCATTAATGCAGATTATTCATGTTTAACAAACACATTTTTGGTGGATCAACACATCGTTTTAAATGATGCAAACGATGAACACAAAATAAAATAGAACAAAAAATAAAAGGGTTAGTGAGGTAAATCAAAACAATAAAAAATAAAAAAAAATGAAAAATCCTACCCCACATGATATCTACCCCACATGCTTATTATTCCTACCCTGACATGATCTCTATCCCGCATGCAAATTTTAAACAAAACCTAACCACATGTTTGTCTAGTTCGCATGCTTTGAACAAAAAATAAAGTAGGAAATAAAACAGCCTAAGGTTTGGAATGAGGTTTCGGGGTGGGCTCTAACTCCCTGTATTCTCCCGGTTTAGGTTCTAAAAAAAAGGTACTCGAGTTCTCCTTACCGGTGCCCCCTTGGGCTTGCCAGACCCTTAGTCCTAAGCTCATTACAAGCTTGTGTGGACTAAGTTAAACTCGAGAGGACACATTCCCTTATGCCCATACGGTGAATAAATTCACACGAAGACATAAGGTATATGAATCCCGAAGGCTACTTGCTAGGCATATGCGGTGAATAAATTCACACGAATGCGTCGCTTTCACCCCCACTTAAAAGGGTTCGGAGCTCGGGTTTAGAGCTTAGAGATGACAATTTTGAAAAAAATCTGAAATCATTAAAAAACATCAGTACAACTATTTATTTGAAACAAAATAATCAAAGGTAAATAATTGGAATCGAATAGATAAATTAAAATTTAAATTTACAACTTTCGCATAAAAAGACAACGAAAAATTAATTCTGGCCTGACTCACTTACCTGTCCCCAGCGGAGTCGCCAAGCTGTCGGAACCGTCTTCCGGTTGGGCCCCGGGAATTGGGCTTCGACTTGAAATAATTGGGTTGGAGTCGCCACCGACCACTTTAAAACAAATTTAGGTGGGTCGGACACCATCTTACCTGATCTGCGTTGTACCAGAAACGTGTCGGGTTCGGGAGTCGGTTACGGTCGAGGAAGGATTAGCACCCTTGAACCGCCCTTTCGGTACCAATTAATTTGTCGGTTGTCTTTTATTACGAAAATTAAGAATTTAAATTGAAATTTAAAAATCCGATTCGAATTACTTACCTTTTGATTGGTTGGAAGTACAACTGAAACAAAATATGTTAGATAAAAAAAAAAATTACTCAAACAATGCTAACAATAAAAAATAAATAAAAATAGGTAAAAAAAAATATAAAAACTTAGGATCAAATTGGAACAAATTGAGCTTAATGAGTTAGAAAATGGACTGCAAAAGAACAAATAAAAAGTTAGGGGACCAAATCACAAAATACAAAAAAAAATATAAATAGATAGGGATTAAATTGATTAAATTGGAAATTCGGAGGCAAATTTACAGGTAGTGACCGAATTGCAAAGCGATTCAAAGTTCCAGGGACGGCGGAAAGAATTTAAGAATAAGCTATTTGCAAAATGGTCCTCCGTATATAAATGGGCCAAAAGACCCTTTCCCTTTCATTTTCCTCATTTCCTCAGAAATCTCATCTCTCTCAAACGAGAGAAAACCTCCACCCAGGCAATTTCCGGCCACCGTCAGACGCCGCCGCCGGCCACCGCCGGCGGTGGCCGAAAAATCTAAACAAGCCCAGAACACTCTCCTTGATACCCCGAGCGTCGATCCAAAGTCCAAATCCCACAAATATCCCCAAAACGGCGCAGATCTAAAGTGTAAGTTTCGGTTTTTTTTACCCTTTAAAACCGGCGTCTCTTGAGTTCCGGCCACTCCTCGGTTATGGCTAGGCTTTTGCGTACTCTCGATGACCAAAACCGAGTAACCCTCGATTTTCTGTGATTTTTCTAGTGATTGTTGCTTTGGCTTTTGGTTTCTGTTGTTTTTTTGTTTTTGTGGTTTTGGGTATTGTTCTGTGTAGACCGGTTTGTGGTCGATGGTTCTCGGTATCTCTCGATGATGCTTGTGTTTCTCCAGCAGTGTACTGTGTGGTGTTCGGTGCTGTGGTTCCGTGTGGGTTCTCCCCCCTGTTCTGTCTTCTCTCTGGGGGTATTTATACTCTCTCGGCCGGTGAGCGTTACCGAACTTCACGGGATGGGTCAGTCCCGTATGGTGGCGCGATTTTCGGCCTGTGGGAGACTGAGCTGTTATGACTCGATTCTTGCGAGATTTGCGTTCTGTTATGGAACGTGTTTGTTGCATGTTTGACCGGTTTCATTTCCGGTGACGGCTGATGCTTCTGGCCGTTGAAATTGCTTCTGGCCGTTGGATTGGGTCAGATCCAACGGTCCAGATCTGGCTGCTCATTTGATGAAATATTTAGTGATTCAGAACCCTAGTTATCATGTGATTTGAGCCGTTGATCACTGCTTGATCTAACGGCTGTAAGTTGTGCGGCGCTGGGACTAAGTTTAGAAACCCTAGCTTGGCAACTGGGTTGGGTCAGGCCCACCTGATCTGCTTGGACCTCGTTCTGGACCCTGAACAGAAAAACAATAACAAAATAATTAAATAAGAAATAATAATAATAAAATAATTACAATAATAATAAATAATAATAATAAATAATAATAATAATATAATAATATAATATATATATAAATATTTTAAAAAACATATAATATATAATTTCCAAAATGTTTTTTTTTTAAATTATATAATATATATATTTAAAAAATGTTTTAAAAAAAATTATATATTATATATTTTTAAAATATTTTTTAAAAAAACTATATAATATATAAATGTTTTCAAAATGTTTTCAAAACTATATATCATATAAATTTTCAAAAATGTTTTTCAAAACTATATATTATATACGTTTTCAAAAAATATATATATATATATTATATACATTTTCAAAATGTTTTCAAAGATTATATATTATATATATTTTTAAAATGTTTTCGAAAAAAACATATATTATATATCATATAATATATACTTTTCAAAAAGATATTCTCAAAATTATATATATAATATGTATTTTAAAACATTTGTAAACTATATAATATATAGATATGTATATATAAATAAAAATCAGACGAAAATATGTGTCTACAGTTACATATGTTTCGTTCAATTTCTCATCGAATTTCCACAAGATGTTTGCATGTGGTTGGATTAGCAATTGAATTTTCCGACCATTGAAACTTTCCACACCCAAAAGTAATTAAATAAAATCCATGGAAGAATTCCATGTCTTGACTCCTCATTTTACTCGTAATTCATTCATTACCTACAACCGTAATTCAAATCTAAGACTTGGATCTTGACTAGCAAATGACGAAACCAACCACAACGATTCGATTTTGATTGGTTAAAATAAATAAATTAAACGATTCAATCCATTTTATTTTAGTCTTAATTTTTTAAAATTATTTTAATCGAATTAATTAATTTTATATATCGAGTAATAATACATAAAATCAATATTTACTTTTACTTAGTAAAATATCTTTGAAGAATATTTGTAGTATTCCTTTTATATTTTATTCATTTTTTCTTGTAAGATTCTTTATAATTTCGTAAAAGAGTTTTGGGAAAATTACTTATTTGGTCATCCACCTTTTACGATGTTTACGTTTTGACCTATTTACCAACAAATTTGAAATGGATGCTAAGAGTGACGTAGTTTGCTCATTTCGTATGGTAAGGATTTGAACCTATAATAAAAGACGTGATGTTTCATCTCGCTAGACTAGTTATTGTTGGTGGAGTATATTAAATTTTGATGATGGAGTTGTCACTTTTTTAACAATTTTGATGATTATATTGGTACTTTTTATAATTAAATGACATAAATAAAATACACATAATTTATGATTAAATGTTCAATTTACCCAAAGGGGGGAATGTGGTTAACTGATGAGTGATATGTTTGCATGTGGTGGAATTAGCAATTGAAATTTCCAACCATTGAACTAAATTCATCAAAGTCTTGGTCTTGGACAGCCATTCCTTCTCTCATATATGAATATTCCGGGAAAATGTAATTAAGAAATAAATAAATAAAATACGTTAAATGACTCAATGCCTTGACTCTTGAGTCGTCATTTTACTTTTCATTAATTGTTAACTGCAAGTTGTAAGAAAGAAGTTGGTGTGGAATACAATAGCCTTAGAAATTTCAAATCTAAGAGTTTGATCTTGACTCGGTAAGGTGTAAGTAAGTAAACGACGACACCCACCAAATCGACTCGATCTTTATTGATTAAAGAAAGTCACAACTCTCAACTGTCCAAAGTCATTGCTGTAGTATACGCAATTGCAGGAGGTGCTTTCTGAGTTATTTCTGCCTATATTATTAAATTAGATGGATTTGGTTAATATTACATTTCATTCCCATATATCTATATGTGTGTGTATATATATTATATACCCTTCCTTTTTTATTGGCAAAGGTTTTGCTTCTCTCTCGATCCTCCTGTTCTCTGATTTCGATACCATATCAGTTTTTTTTCTTGAGAAAGAAGATTTATGGAAGACAAGTATGAAACTGTGAAGATTATTCAAGATTCATCAGCTTCTGGAGTTTTTAACCTAATCATAAACCGTCCATCTGTTAGCAATGCACTTTCACTCGACTTCTTCGCTGAATTCCCCAGAGCTCTTCATGCTCTCGACCAAAACCCTAACGTCGCCGTCGTCGTTCTTTCCGGGGCCGGAAATCACTTCTGTGGAGGTCTCGACCTTAAGAGTCTCGCGGGTTTCATCAACGATAGCTCGGGAGATCACGGCCGCATCGGGGAGCGATTACGGAGACAAATCAAGTTCATGCAAGATGGTATCACCGCCATCGAGAGGTGTCGGAAACCGGTGATCGCAGCTATACACGGAGAGTGTCGGGGCACGGGGGTCGGTATCGTGACGGCCTGTGACGTAAGGTACTGTAGTAAGGATTCGTTTTTTTCTGTCAAGGAAGTGGACGTGGCTATCGCCGCTGATATGGGTACCCTCCAGAGATTACCTGGGATAGTAGGGTTTGGGAACGCCATGGAGTTGTCGTTGACGGCGAGGAGGTTCTCGGGTGAGGAAGCCAAGGAAATGGGTCTGGTTTCCCGGGTTTTCGGGTCAAGGGAGGAGCTGATGAAAGGTGTTCGCACCATTGCAGAGGGTAAGTTGAGCTTGTGATTTCCTTATCTTAATTCAGTATTTTATGTTGAGGATATTTCATGGATCATGAAATGGGTTGTTTTTAAACTGGATGCAGGAATCGGCAGTAAGCCGCCGCTTGCGGTGGTGGGAACAAAAGCGGTGTTGATAAGAAGCAGGGATCTGAACGTGGAACAAGGGTTAGAGTATGTTGCAACATGGAACTCTTCCATGCTTCTGTCTGATGATCTAACTCAGGCGATTTCTGCTCAGAAACACAAAAGGAAACCTACTTATGCTAAGCTTTGAATCATAATGATGTTGTTTCCCTTGTTGTTAAGTAGGATTACATTTAGTATATTATGGTGTGAACAATAATGATGTTTTTTCCCTTAAATGCAAGGGTAGTCTTGCTATGTAAAATCTAATGTAATAGTACTTTTATTATTAATAAAATAAATTATCTTCACCGACATCGTTAAGTAATTTTATAGAAAAAAAATTAAAATTTTTATCTGACATACTTTTATATATCATCATCAAATAATTTTTTGATTAAAATTTTCTCAAACATTTGAATTTTGACAAATTCAAAGAAAAATAACTAAATTTTCTTAATTCCAATAAAGTTATTTTAATTTTCCATTCCACCCTCAAAAGTCTTGGTATTTGATAACCATCATCCTATACCCACATAGTAATTAAGAAATAAAATCCAATAAAAAATTCAAGTCTTGAATTGCCAAACTGACTTCTTAACTTTCTTTTTATTCATTTATTTATTAATTCCCTTTTATGTATTTATTATTCTTTCTAAGGTATATTATATACAATTTATTAACCTATGCTTTCCTTTTCTTTTCTTTCCCTTGATATGTTGGTTGCATGACATATTTAGGGATTGCAAACGGGCGGGTTGGGTGAGGATACCCCCTCCCCATCTCCATACTCACCTAATATTTTTCAATCCACTACCCACCCACCACCCATAATGGGTACAAAATTTCAAATCCACACCCGCCCACGCGGGTACATTTTCAAATCCATCCCCACTACCCACTAGCGACGTACCCGTCTAGACCCGCCTGAAAGCAAACTTAAGTTATACATAAGCAACAAACATAAAAAAACATGTCCATTAAGAAACATAATAAAATAATCCAAGGATTATCTGAGTTAAGTGTTATCTTAAAGTACAGAAAACACCATAATAAAAGACATAATTAAAGTTTAGAAACATAAATGACAAACACATAATGTTTTTGTTCTTTGGCACAACATTCTAAAATTTTAGGCAATACTTGTGACATCTGATACTCCAGTATTACAATCATCATTCTCTATTTCCTCCAATTGAGAGCGCTCCAATTTAAATTCACTACTACCTACATATATAATAGAAAGTAAAACTAATATAAGTTAGTAACTAAACTTTAATAAGATAATTAAGTACAATTTAACAACTAATATAAACTAAATAATAATATTACATTTAATATCGGCCCAAAGCCAATTCTGAGCACACATTAATGCTTCAATCGTCTCCGGAAGTAGTCAACTACGATAAGGACCAATTACTCTTCCACCTGTACTGAATGCAGATTCTGATGGGACAGTGGAGACAGGAATGCTCAAAATATCCTTTGCTATTTGTTGGAGAGTTGGATAACTATTTCCATTTGTTTTCCACCAGTTAAGAATGTCAAAATCATCAACAAATGGTATATTAGTAGTTTCTAAGTACCTGTCCAAATCAGTTTTTTCAGAAATTGCAGTATTATTTTGCTCTAGAAATTCAGCAAACTCGTTCAACATTGTTCCTTTGCCCTTGGTATTGAAAAAACCAACAGATTTGGTTTTGCTCTTACTTGCTTGGTTCTTACATTTCTATATCCATACTCATCCACCAATTCATGTAGAAGATCGGCGCAGTAACGAGATTAAAGACTAAAGAAGAGATCAGATTAAAGACTAAATATCCATAATATTTGGTTAAATTACATGTTATATCTTATACAATATTAGAATTTATAACTTAGTCTCTAAAATTACACCTAAATTCATAATGGTCCAAAATTTAATGGATATTTAGCTGGGCGGGCGGATGCGGGGCGGGTAATGTCTCAAACCCATTACCCGCCCACTACCCGCGACGGATATCACTTTCTAAATCCACACCCGCCCACTACCCGCTAAAATTATACCCATCCCCGCCCCAATTGGAGCGGGTGCAATGCGGAATCCACGAAACTGTACCCGTTTGCCATCCCTAGACATATTTATACATATGAAAAAAATGTGCATTAACCTTGCATTGAAAACGAGATAAGAGGTACTAAAATTAAAATTAAAATCAATACATAGAAACCACTAGTTTTATGGATACATTTTTTTAATATAGAGATCACTCATTTTATCAAAAAGATAAAATATCTAAAATTATAATAAAGATTTACAATCATAATCGAAAACTAAACACATAGTTACACTACAACAGAACTGTTCAATAACGACGTTTTTAGTCCTATAACAACGTTTTTAAGCGCCACATAAAAGCTTCCCAACGCAAAAAATGGCCCCTAAAATGAATGCCGCAAACATTAGCGGAGTTTGTAAATAAAAAACGTAGAAACAGGATTGCAGTGCTAAACAACAAACATCGCTAATATTTTTATTTTGTGGCGCTCTATCAGTAAACGCCTTGTTATGTTCAAAGTTAGTGGCGTTTTCTTTTCAAACGCCGCTAAAAAAAGCCCCTACAAACATATTCTGCTATACTGTTAGGACATTTTCTTATAATCTTTGACATAAGAAACTAGTCACTTAAGATCAAACAAACTATATAAGGAAACTGTTAAAAACCTAACAAAAAAAACTTGAACAAAAGATATATACGAACATATCTGATTGCATCAACAAATGAACTATAAAATAGGATCAACAAACAACAAATCAGAGTCGAGCGACGTGAGAAAACTATATACAAACGCAAATCATGTATCCAAACCCAATATGAGAGCCCAAAGTATGGAAGATTAGTATAACAACAAATAAGCATAATCTTGATCAATCGAGGCGATGTGAAATCCAACCTTGAGGGAGAAAAAAAGATAAACGATTGATAACGAAGACCAAAAATGTGTCAGAGGGCAGAAAAGAAATATGTTAAAAGGTAGAGAAGAAATGTGTCATAAAAATAAAGCTATTGAAAACTAAAAAATCAACGGAAAAACAAAGATGTGATATAAAAAAATAAATGACCACCAAACACCAAAACTAATATAACCGCCTAACCACCAAACACCAAAACTAATATAAACGCATTCAAATTGAAGAGAATCAAACAAACAAACAAAAGCTAAAAGAAATCAATAAAATTTGAGCGCACCCTTCTTTCCAAAAGGCCAAAGCTTCGACTTTTTACTCTTATATATAATACATTTCCCCCTACAAAATTTATGCACCCTTCCTCCCCTCATCTTAACAGGTTCCTTTTTCCTTCGTCGAAACCCTAACAAATCCAAACCAAAGCCCAAAAGCCAAAAAAAAAAAAAAAACCAAAGCTGTGTTTGCAAGCAAGTACCCATTGGTTTAGATCTCAAGTCTTACGAACCAACATGGGTGTCTTGCCGGAGAGTTTACGACCATATGGTTGGTTGAGCCGAGAAGATGAGCCGACTAAGTCTAGACCCAAGACTGATCGGTCTAAGCCTACGGATATTGTTGAACCAGAGACCGGTGAGTTTGAGTTCAGGCTTGAAGATCCTGTCACCATGCTTCCGGCCGATGAGCTTTTCTCCAATGGCAAGCTCCTGCCTTTACATTTCTCGTCACTCAAACAACAACAACAACAGCCTCCATTGTCTGATACCAGGTTGCTCGAAACAGCCAAATCTTGTCCAGAAATGGATCCCTACTTGTTTTCTCCCAGAGCTCCGAGGTGTTCCAGCAGGTGGAGGGAGCTTCTCGGTCTTAAAAAATCCTCCCAAAACACTAATCAACAACAACACCCAAAACCGGAATCTCGAACCCCCAAATCTCTAAAGCATTTACTCAACAGAACCGCAAAGTCTTCACCGCCGTTGAATCTCCCACTGTTGAAAGACTCGGATTCCGAGACGGTTTCCATATCCTCATCAAGGCTATCCCTTTCATCATCATCATCTTCCTCGGGCCACGACCACGAGGATCTTCCAAGGCTATCACTTGATTCCGACAAGCCCAGCCCCAACCCTTTCGCTCCTAGTAGAAGTATAAACCCGAACCCACCAAGAACCGGAAGGAGTCGGATCCGGAGGGACCCAAACACGAACCGGGGAGTTTCAGTGGATATTCCGAGAATGAACTCGTCGGGGAAGATCGTGTTTGAAAGCCTAGAAAGAAGCTCAAGCAGTCCAAGTAGATTCAATGGTGGTCCCAAGCTCAAACACAGAGGAATGGAAAGGTCATATTCAGCTAACGTAAGGATCACCCCGGTACTTAATGTCCCCGTTTGTTCATTGAGAGGATCTTCAAAATCGGGCTCGGTTTTCGGATTGTTTTCGTCTTCCCAACAAAAGACTGCAAACGGAGGAAGCAACAGCAAAGGGCGTCAATGTAACAGCAGAAGTTGAAAAAAAAAACAACTTTAACGTTTTCATGTGGTTATTTTCTAGATTTTATCTTTATATTTTCATTTTCTTGCCTCTGCAACGGAACATTGTAATTTCGATGTGAAAAAGACGATGAAAAGCAGGGATTTGTGTATTCAGAGATTGAAATGAAAGGGGTCCTCTAGGTTTTTGGTTTTATCGATCTGATCTGAAAGATATGGAATCTCTGTTTTTCCCTGTTCGTGAATAGATGACTTGACACTGTGTGGTCTATGAGACTGACTCACTTCTTTGTTTTTCTTCTTAACAAAGAGATGAACATTTTTCAAGTACAAATAAAATTATAGATAAATCTTTCGACAAATATTTTATACATACTCCAAGACTCAAACTTATAATATTATTTAATAATATTATTTAAACGATATCAAATTATTTAAATTATTTATACGTGGGAACTGAAATCATATGTTTTTGTTTTGGTCCGAGTCTTTTTGGTAATAGTACTCGTTTTGCAGCTTTGAGATTACATCTAATCTGACCTGTCTCTTCAATAATTCTTTTAAGAAATATTTTATATTCAACTCCACTATATCCAAATGTTTTGATTTCTTAAACTCTAAAACATATGTTTATCTATTTTAATCATGTTTGTTATTTATAAATTTTGAGACATAGTTGGACTATCTTGCTTAAATTTAGGGTGGCGGTAGGACCACATGGCATTAACATGTGGGATAATCTTCAACTAATAATTCAATTGTTCAGTGCTAAGTTTGTTTCCATCTTAATGTCTTATTATTATTTATTCCGTTGGCCCCTCTTGTTTTGTGTGTTTTTTTTTCTTTCCTTTCTTAATTTATCCAAAAGAATAACAAACCCTTTTAACATCCACCACATTCCAGGTCAGGTAGGGATAGAGTTTATGAATGGATCGTGTAATAAAAGGGCAGATATACCCCCAAATACTTGTTCTAACGGGATAAGACACTAGATTTCTTAAGTAGGGTTACGGGTTCAAACCCCGATATTTAAGAATAGAGTAAACTAAGTTGAGAGTATCGCCCTTGCCTCTAAGTACTCGATCTGAATTAGTTGATCAATAAATCAGATAACAGTAATTAATTCAAAAAAAATAAAAGGGCAAATATAAAGAACAAATTGTGGGGTTTCAAAATTAAATGTGGAAATGAATAATGATTTTTAGTTTGACCTTGTCAACTTAGTTCTCTAATGGAACCACCAAGTCTTACTCTTCTGTATTGGAATTCTCCATTTATTATATTTGATATTCTTCCCTCCCCAAAAATCAGTCCCTTCCCCCCCCCCCTGAAATACCATTCCATTTTAAAATAAAATTCATATCATTTTATCAATAAAATTGTTTACATCGTATATTACATAAGATCTGTTCGTATTTAAGATTTAAATGTTCCGAGGGCTAGATCTAGACTTAGTTGGCTCATCTTCTCGGCTCGAGGATATCCAAATTTCCCATCTTATATGGTTGAACAGTATCTGCTAATTTTAAGTTCTAACCATATACGCTATACATGTTGATTTGTAATTTATAGTCATTTAATGTGACATGCACAACATTTCTCTAACGAAAAATTCTTTAGGTATCAAAAATTAATTTTGAGTATAGTTTAAATATTTATTTTTATATTAAGTCAAATATTAATAATGTTTTGATAAATGATTGAGAAGATGATGTATTTTGACAAAAAAAATATTATAATATTGATATTAAAAACCCCCCGCAATTCAACAACCCATTGCAGCCAAATAATGGAATATTAGCAGGAAATAAACAAGCAATGAAATGATAATAATAATAATAATTATAGGAGGCAGGGATCCTGCAAAGCCCTGGAATTGGGACATCAATGAATGAAGCAACGTGATTTCCTTCATAGATTCTCCTCTCTCTGCAATATTTAAATTTAACATCTCCAGAACGCCTTCCATTAACAAGATTTCTCATCACTCTGGAAACGCAATAAATAACTCACAGCATTTCTGCGTTTGTTTGTTTCTTCTTCTAATTTATGGAACATCAGCAAGTTACAGTCTTTGTATGTACAACATCAGCCTGTACACTTAATTCCAGTGGCGAGAGATTCATATTCAAATACGTTGCAAAAGAATTATCATTTCACTCAACCCTGTTCACTTGCACTATCCAATATGAATCCTGCCTTGATAAATTTTCTGTTAGATTGCCCTTGATACTTCGACTGAGCATCCGGGACTTGTTAATGCAATCAAAGAGCTTAAAGAGATTTAAACAAGTTTTTCTAACATATTGAGAATCTACAAAATGACAATATCTAAGCAACCAGCAAGTAGAGTGAAGAGTGAAGCTAGATGCATGATAAAAGGCTAAATCATCCTTGTTACCGACTCGTATTATTCATGAACATTTGAGTATTTATACCAACACTAAACCAATGCCCGAGTGCAGGGCCAAGAGAGATTCTCTCTTTCATGAAAATGAAAAAGAAAAATATCAAAATCAAACCTAAATTTATCATTCCAATTGAACTGACAAGGCAACAATATCACACACCTCCCCGTAGACTGCATTATTTGATTCTTTATTCAGCATCTGCTACATTGCACAGCGGTTTTTCCGACAGATCCATCCCACGTCCTTTAAACAAAAATATAAGCCGGAATGTAGGATATCTTCTGCACAGAACATCCTATATACTAGACAACTACATCCCCGTACACGAGTTCCATCAAAATAATCTCCAACCTATTGGAAGAACCCCAGGAAAGGGAAAATCCCTGCAACGTTCTATCATAAATACACATTGCTAGCTCCACTCATAACGTTTTGCTAAATAAGCAGAAGCATGTTATCGTTAAAGATTAAAACACATCAACTTGTAGAATTAAAATAGGACCATAGCTTATGTATCCTTAGTGCTTCACCTGAACCGCCCCGGTAGGACCATAGCTTATGTACCCTTAGTGCTTCACCTGAACCACCCTGGATGCTCCACGATTGCCATCAACCACAAATGAAACGGTATAAGCTAATTGCTTGCTTACAGAACACATGGCATCACTTTGCTTTGGCTGTCTAAAAATGTGTGAATTTAAGCTTCTCCCACCAATGTATCATGACTGCTCAACAAGCATAGACCGCTGAGAGAGATCCCATAACAGCTTTTTCTGCTGCTCACTAATGTGTGGTAGACATGCCTGCAACAGATCAATTGGCATTTCTCTTTTAATTGCTTTTGCAGCATCTGATTCATCAATTACCATATTCGGTTTGACCTGCATACGCAAGGACTGCATCACCGTATCATATTTGTTTAAACAATACTTGGCAAGAAGATTAAAGAATTCATCAAAAGAGGCCTTCCAAAGGGACTGATTGCTCATACTGTAATCACTGCAAGCTCTAAAATCAGTCACTAGTTTTGTTGCCCTATCAAGAACACACTTCAAAATAAAAGATGCCGCATCTCCAGCAGGACTTCCAAGAGGACGAAGAGGAGGCTGCTCTGAGGAACAAACCACAGCTGCAAGACAAAAACTAAGTGCATGAAGATCCATCTCATGAACACACGAGGACACAACCTTTACAAGGTTAGTAGTAGTTTCTACTGCTCCTGGATCAGAAGGAAGGCCTCCAAACAAGAACCTTAAGTGATGGAAAATGGCCGTGCAGACAACCCTCATGAGTTCACCATCTAGAAAGAGAAGCTGAAGGTACCTTGCAAGCAGCTTCCGGCCTTTGGGAAGGGACGCTATTCGTAAGAAGACAAGATCATCCTTCTGAGCAAGCTCATCTGTGGGGCCATTCTTACCAAGAGGGTCAACCAATTGAAGTGATGCTGCGAACTCTTCCAACAAAACCTGCCGTCTATGTCTCAGCTGTGCGCCACCATCCTGTAACTGATTAAACTGTAAAAACCTATCAATATCATCTACATCAAGAAGAAGGCATAGACCATCCTCAATTGTAACTCTGGCAGCAAGCATTGGTTCTTGTTCCAGGGGCATATCAGAAGCTTTCTGATTATTGTTGTCGACAGAGGATGAATTTGGAGGGTCAACTTCCAGAAGAGGGCGAGGCCTCCGAATAGAAGAGAAAGGAACCCTCCCAAGAGCATCAACTTGGAGAAAAGCATGTGGCTCAGCATTTGCACGTGCTCGGGGTGGAAGATCCCTCAGATGAGTCGGGAAGAAATGATGTCTCAACTTTGCCCCAGCAGATTTTCTTGCAAGGCAAGCCTGGTGGTAATAATCATCCACATAGGGGTCATTACTGTGAGTTGCAGCAAGCTGCATTCTAAGAATGCCCTCAATCTCATCAGGCAACATATATTTGGCTCTAAATTGAGGCCATCCAATATTAAAGCCCTGCTGAGAAAATCGAGGATTTTGCCTACCTTTCTGAGCTGATTTAGGTCTGTGATCTCGCAAATCACCAATGCCAAGTACAGCTTCAAATTGGTTCATTAGAGGAGGGGACACGGAATGATGAGGATTAAATAGTTGCGACTGAATCCCTGACATATGGTTAGGTGATGGCGGAAGAGGATGCTGCAGTCTCTGCTGGTGCACCTGCATCTGTGGCATTAATTGAGGTCGAATCAAACCGTTTTGATGAGATATCTGCTGCTGCAACATATTGTTCAAAACACCAGAACCATTTCCACCATATAATTTGGGCTGGCTCCCCCATTGATCTGATGCACGGTTATTGACAGACAGACCAGGAACCAATTGAGCCATATTCCCACCATACCCATGATGTAAACCTGGCATTTGAGGATGGGAATTAGAGATTGTGGAGAGATTTGACGAAGACGACATCTGTGACCCACCAACCATATATGGTATATTCAGTTGAACAGAATGTTGATTTGGTGAAGCTTGAGGAGATTTGCCACTAGGGGGAGGGTATGAAGTGTAAGAAGATTTTGGAACTAGAAAAGGTTCACTAGAGAAATGTAGATGGTGGTGTTGTGACTGCTGCTGCTGTGGCTCAGGGTATGAGGATGTCCTGAGGAGATGCTTCGGGTCCAAATTGGGCAATGGTTGTGATGACCAATGCTTGCCTTCAGGAATACTTTCAGTTTCAAGAGCCTGCTGGTCAAGCCAGTAAGGAAATTCCTCCCCATGTGCCCACTCAGCAACAGATGAACCTTAAAGGGGAACTTGGTCAGAACAATGAAAAATATTTCAATATAAATATAGGATCATATACAAGAGTATCACCATATAGTTGAATTCATTTTGATGATACAGGGTCCCAGTGCTTAAGATACTGATTCAAAACATGAGAAATAGCAGTAACAAAGTTCACACAACTTTTTATTAAAAATAGTCAGGAAGGAAACATTGTGATAGAGTCAGTTGATGACTATTAATTAATGAATTATGATCATGCATCATTACATAACACATTTGGCAATGAAATGGAGCAAACTCTCTAGTGTTATATACACACACACATACTAAGCTTATATTAATAACAACACTAAATCTTCATCGTATAATATGTATATCAGTCTGTGGGAATCAATGCCTTACTTCACTCTAATGATGAAAAGAGCTCCAAACTTGCAACTTGCAGATTTGACATCTCACTACCTCAATCCAATCAAACTACCTAAAATGAAACTAAACTAGAGATACCGAAATGTTATGAAAGGGAAGAGGAAATGTGTAGAAGATTTTGAGAGACCCAATACCATATGGACTGTTTACTGTAATTGTAATGCCCCGGAACCCTGGTCAATAGTTTCGGTCAACCTGAAACCCGTCGATAGAGCCCATTAGACCTCCTAAGATAGTTTGGACCATTTAGAGAGGGTATTGGGCTTAAGGTTGGCCCAAAAGTCAAGGAAAGTAATGTTTTTAATTTAAGTTATAAAGGAAAAGGACTAAAAGTGTAGTTTACCCGTAGCTTGTTTTAAAGGTTAAAAAGGCCCTTATCTCCCTTATTTTTCACGTGAGTCATTCCCCAAAAATATCTTCCCATTTTCTTCTTCTCCAAACTCTTCTTCATTTCTTCTACTTAGCCAAGATCAAGCTCTAAAGAAACCTATTCCTAGATTGAAGCAATCAAGGTAAAAAATCTATTCTTCATCTTCTAAGCTTCCATTAGAGCCATAAATTTCAAGGTTTGGCTAAGTTTTTCAAAAATGGGTTTTTAGAAATCAAGTGTTTTAAGTCATTTTAGGAGAGTGTTTGAGTTGTAGGGAGTGTACCTAAGCTTTATCCAACACCTAGTTAAGTAAGTAATCCATTTTTTATACCTTGATTAGTTAAAGAGGTTGAAGAGAGAGTTCAAGCCAAGGGAAAAGGAAAAGTGGATCCCTAGTTGATTCAAGAAGTGTTCTAGCATCCAACGAATCTAGGTAACACCACTATTAGCTTTTCCATACCAGTTGTAGGATCATTAGAAAAAAGTTTAGCTTGAAAGTTGAGTATGAGCATGTTTAGTAGCCTTCCATGGAAGATTTTATGTTTAATGTTTTTAGCATGTTTCTAAGCCTTATTTATGATCCCTTAATATCACATAAGACTTTTAGAATGTTTGGGGACCTCACTAGGGTCTTTGGGATTGAAAAATGGAGTTTTTCATGCTTGTTTTATGACTTCTGCAGGTAGAGTATCGATACTATAGGGTTAGTATCGATACTTGTTCTTCATTTCTGGGTAGAAACGTGTTTTCTGGGCAGAAGTATTGATACTCTTCCAAGAGTATCGAAACTGAGTCATAGTTTCGAAACTCCCAGAAAATATCGAAACTAGGCAAAACAAGATGTTTAAAAGTATCGGTACTTATATAAAGTATCGAAACTTTTGCAGGAGTATTGATACTCTTGGGCTAGTATCGATACTTTCAGTATGTTTTGGGCAAAAAGGTCAGTTTTTGAGGGATTTATACACGAGGTACCCCAACACTTCATTATATCATCAAATAAGACTACAAGTGGAGCAAAATTAATGTTAATTCAAATGTAGAAATCAAATAATTAGGGACAAATAAGACTAGCTTTGTTTGAATGCTCGGGAAAAAGATCAGGACACTCAAGTTCCTTTAGAAAAGATAGCAGAGTCAAAAGTATAGATGCAGTCCGGATATATCCTTAGATAGGGCGCAAGGCTCTTAAAACCGACTAAGGCCGAGGTCTGACACTCGCAAGGGGTGGTTTAGTCAGGGGTATGTTGTCCGATGCAGAATTCCAGGGGCCATATCTCAATAGACTAGAGAAGTGTGTGAGCTCCGAGATGCAGTAATCCCTCAGCCGCATCACGATGTCTACAGTAGTGTAGAGAGTGAGTATCGCAAGGATATTCACTACGCATATCAGATCAGTAGACTTGATAGCTAGCCTTTCAGTGATATGCAATTAGTATGTTTCAACTCTTAGTGTGTCGCTGAGCTAACGGATTGTTTCCATGGGCAGGCCAGTAGATCCAACAGGTGAGGAGAAGTAGATAAACCAAAACCCAGATCAAACCAGTGCATATTCAGAGTACGTCTTAGCATTTTTGAAAGGGCATGTATATTTGTAAGCTTTATTGTCCAGTTAAGGGAAAATTTTATAGAATGACAATAAGACAAGCGCTGCTGTATGGATCAGAATGTTGGGCAATCAAGAAGGATCACGTAAGGAGGGTGGTGGCCGCGAAAATGAGAATGCTTCGATGGGCATGTGGTAGAACTCTGTGGGACATGACACCAAACTCTGCTATTAGGATGTCCTTAAAGGTGGTGTCTGTATCCGAAAAATTAAGGGAGGGAAGACTACGGTAGTTTGGGCATGTCCTTAGGCGAAAACCGTCGGATGCGGTCAGGAGGGTAGAGTCGATTACAGTCGACGGTGCCAGAAGGAGAGGACGACCAAGGCGGAAGTGGGAAGACTGCTTTAAATCTGAAGGATTTAGCCCTTACCGAGGACATGACCTCTGATAGGAAAATATGGAGACTTAAGACCAGGGTAGCCGAGTAGTGCGGGTCACATCCACAGGGTGTATCATCTCTGTCTTCTTTTAATGCCTTTGTAGTAATTTCCATGACTTCTACTTTCTATACGTTTTTACCATTGGAATTTATGAAGGCTTAGAACTAGGGTAATGAGTATTGTTGCCTTAGTTTAGGTTTTATCCCATTTGACTTTATTCCTTCTCGTAGCTTGCTATTCGTTGACTGTTGTGTATCCTTCTCTTCATGTTTCCTCCTTTTAAATTTTGTCTGGTCTTACGTTTCTGTCTATATGCAGAGTTTTTTACGCAGGGATTTATTTGCAGGGATTACTTCCTATTACAGACGTGCATATGAAGACTGTCCAACTATGTATTTATTTATTTATTTATACATACATTGCATTTTATCTTTATTTTTAATTTTCTAACTGCCGGAGGTCTTCCACGGAAGTTGCTCTCAACCTGGCGTTGAGGGCAGCCTACTACCCTACCTCCCCTTTACCCCATTACATATGGGAATAGAGTTTTGTTGTTGTTGTGTTTATTGTCCAGTTAAGTCGTAGTGTCAGTAGAGCGGTCTACATCATTTTTGTAAGGTGTAAATATTTTAATTTGGAGCTCCTCAGTGCAAAGATTTTATTTATTCTTCAGTTTATTTTACAGTTGTTTTATATTTAAAGAAAGTAAGAAAAAGTTGGTCAGCCACTTTGGTGGTTCCATGTAACACCTTAAATCGGTCGACTGTGTGTCGTACTAGTCTAGGGTGTTACGATAATTAACAACTTTGAGAACAACAATAATACAATCCAACGTTTTAACAAATCAGTACCATACATACCATGACCTAAGAGAATGCTATCAATGCTATTTTTAAATTTTTGTTGCCTATTCCAACAAATGTCTTGCTTAGAGAAACACATAATAAATTCCAAAACAATGGCGAATGGAAGTTTGACAGCTTGACGAAGGTAAGCGTCATCAAAATGGATTTCCACAAGTAATGTAACAAGATATGCTTTTAAAACAACAAAATGTTTTGATTCATTGAACAAGTGACCAACTATTCTGGCTCATAAAACAAGAACAACTTCATGTCATGGCATAAAGGATATTCAGAAGAATCAGAACTTCAAAGATAGCAATAATGAAATTCACATCTAGATGCTTAATGTTAAATTTCATACAAAATTTCTTGATTTAATTATCACAAGAAAAAACCCAAAAGAAAATAAAGACGGCAAGGCTAAAACAAAGCAAGCTTAATGACTACTTGCAACCGATCCACAGTGAAGGCATGTCCGTTGCAAGCATTTAATATCTAAACAGTCGTATATGAGTTATCAAATGTTACAAACAATGAACTTCCACCAAATAACTCAATTATAATCCTGATAAAATTAACTCATGCTCCATCATTTCTTTTCTTTAGCCATGAAATCATTAACCACCAAAAAGGGAATTGTTAAGTCAATCTAATCGTTGATATATATTCCATATCTTAATTTCTTATCAAATCACTAGATAGTTTTCCTGAAGTTGGACATATTTCTCCATTAAAGCACTGGGACCATGCAGATACACTCCACATTAAGACAGACAAAGAGATGCTCATGTCAAAGGTCAACAATCAACACTGATATACTGAATAAAACATAGCAAAAGCTTCTACAATAAACAAACCCACAAAAGGTTGGACCTCCATAACATCAATCATCACTGCCTGGTAGAAGTAACAAGGTAAATAAACTCACTTTCTCGGGATCCCCTGTCACCAATTATCCCTGAGCCTCTTGGTCTACTAACAACTGTGTTCAACTGCAACAAAATCACAAGATGCCATCAGCAAACATTCCATGGCTAATGCTTATAGCCAGAATTAACCACCGAGAAACATTCATCTCCAATAAGTGCCAATGGTGAATCGTCATTTTTAAGAAATACTAAAGAAAATGATAGGAATTTTATCCTTTGTCTCTCTTTTAAAGCAAAGATTTGAGATAGCCACTAGCAAGCAAGAATATATCATTTAAAAGGAAATTATCTTTTCTAATTTATTATACAAAAAATAAGCCAATAGCAAGGGAAGTTAAGGTTCACTATAAAAGTAGATTAACACTAGTGTCCTTGCTTGACAGAGTTAAAATAAAAGTTTGGAGGATCAATCATTCTATAACATTGTCCGAGGAAGTTCGGGACAAAGCCGGTAAAACATTTCTAGTGTATCTTAAGAAACCAGAAAGACTAGCACTAAAAAAATGGGGGTGATTTGAAACGTTGACAAAACTAGTGTATCTTATGCAAATAAGGTCTAAGCCAATGGTAAATGTGGTTCCAAGGCATTTTCACCAACCTCTAAATAATTCAATAGTCAACAGAACCACTATTAGACACTAATCCTTAGGAAGGGAAAATATCTTTAATGATCTTACTAGTTGTAAAATACAATAATTATGTGGCAGGCTAACCTTTGAAAATGTACTTTCAAGGTCATCTATTTGTGATGATGATCTCAAAATTCCACCCTACAAATATGAAGAGTTGTTAGATGAAGCATCTAGTGCATGAACAGTCTAGTAAAAACAGCTATAAAATTAATAACCTTGAAAATTAGTTAGGTCTTCCAAAAGAAACATTTAGAGCGATGGAAATTCTTGATTAAAACATCAAATTTTAACCATGTTAGCAAGCATTTTAAGTTCACAATTCCAAGGAGAGAACGAGGAGGGGAAGATATGAATTGAATTTGACTGATTGTTAGTGACACATGCATTCTCAGACTTCAGCTACTGAAACAGGAAAAATCATGAATATTAACCTCCTCTCGATCAAACAAAAATTCCTCTTCATCAAGTTCAATTGCGGGTAAATCTTCCTCATCATCATCTAGCCCCCCCAATTCAACTTCCTCGAGAACATCATTTCCGAAAAAAGCATATTGTGATGCATCAAATAATGTACCTCCTGCATTACAGGAAACCTAAGTTTTACTAAAATGAACTCTTCCAACTCACAACATAAAGAACATATTATTTTTCTAAAAATCAGTAGCAACACATTCGAGAAAAAACAAATTGAGATATAAAAAACATCTGAAACATACATTTGTCCAGTTTTTCATCAATTCCAGAACAAAAAGTATAAGTGCAATTAAGAAGGGGAAAAACAAGGGGCCTTTTTTATGTCTTTGCTTTGAGGCCAAACAGCAAGCAAGAAGCTATATAATCCACCACAACAAGTACAACATGCCCAAAGGGATAGCAAGGCAATCGGGACTTGGATATTCTATCTCCAAAGTCTCAAGTTTGATCCACGACAATGGGAAGGAATGGGATAATCGATAAGGGAGCAAGTGAACTGAGCACCCTTTGTGTAGCTAAAGGCACACTATTTCTCAATATGCACAAAAAGTAATTCCTCAAGTTCAATCATAATTCAAATAAATTGTGCTTATTTCCATTAGTAAAGTTATTGGAATCAAATTCAAATAAACTGAAACTCATTAACGAACGTGCTTTAGTATCCAATTCAAACTTTATGATTACTAAACTGGAAAAATGTCCATGCCAATATGAAATGAAGCAACAATTTGAAAAGTATAAATTGTTCACAAATGGGAAACATTTTATTTCTAAGTTCTGATTGAATCCAAAATCATCATCCATAATTGCTTTAGCAACAGAATCATACACTTAGCATTCAAAACACAATACTTCGGATCTAATTTTCATTTTCTTCCAACCTACAACAGATTAGATTTAGACCCCAGAATCACACTAACTTCTACACTATAAAGGTCCTAAATTCTACTCTAAGCTAAAAGCTAACAAAAGGGGAAAAAGCAGAAGCTAAAGCTAACTTTATCTAAAAACAGCATCAACCGAGTAATTGAAGCAAAAATGAATCGAAAATCAAACCTTTAGAATTATCGCCTAATTGCTTAAGATCCTTAGAAACATCCATCTTATCCGCACTTCAAAATTACGACGCAACAAGGAAAACCCAAAGCAGAAAAACCCTATTTATTAGCTGAACCTCAAATCTAATGGTTTCTTTAAAAGAATCTAAACCTGAACTCTAACAAGGGAAAAGAAAAGAAAAATTAAGAGAGAAAGGGCAGAAAAATCGTTTGAAAAGCAAAAACCCTTGGCAAAGAAATATGGTTTAGTGGAGGGAAGATCTGTATGTATTTCATGGTTAAGGTAATAGCTTCATTTTCCTTCTTTTTTCTAAAAATTGGTTTTCTCAAATTTGTTGAGACAAATAGAAACAGAGACAGGAACCCTTCAAAAGAGATAACGAAGGAACTTTCGTATATGCGATTGAATTGAACTGACTGAAAATAAACAAATAAACAAATAAATAAATGCGTTTTATTTTATTTTCTCAATCAAATTTTTTATTTAAAAATTTTATAAACTTTAATTGCCAATAAAATTACTCCAATTGATGCAAAATTTACACGAATACTTCAGAAAGTTAAAAACTATAATTGAGAAAAAAATTGAAAATAAAAATAAGTGTAAAATATGCATTTAAATAATTAATTTAATCATTAAAATTATTGAAGTAATTAATTTGATAGTTTAGAATCGATATATTTACGATTCTATCAACGATTATAATGGTTAAAAGAGTATTATTCTATATAGAGATTTTGAATTCAAATAATGACATTTGTAAAATGTATACAATCATTATCAATTGATCAAGAACATTTCAAATATATATTACCTTATAATTAATAGACTAAAAGAAATCGATGCATTTACAAATGATGTAATTATACAATATCAGCTTCACCTCAACGTGTTTTCTTTTGTTATTTCTCTCTACTCTTAATGCCCCTGCTCATTGATTTTGGGTTTGGACAAGGGCATCATGAGGATGTGTGACAAATATATGGTGTATTTAGGGTTAGAAGTGTTGGTAGTACCAGACTAGTGGTGGTAATATCCCCCCGCCCACCCCTTTTCCAGGCCTATATTTTCTTCTTCTTTAATTATACAGCTAGTGTTTATGGTAGAAGAAAGAATCTGTTAACGAAACATGTATCTGTGTTTCCACGTCTCCCGATCTTGTTTATTTTATTATCTTTAAAATAGAGGGAGGGAACCACCGACAAGACGTGATATTCGTCATTTTGTTAGATCATCTCCAGCCCTCATCTCTACTCTACAGCATCTCTATCTCTACTCTAAAGATGAAACAGTAATTCATCTCCAGCACTATCTCTACATTACCACCAACTCTACTTTATTCATAATATTTAACTATTATAATATTGATTTTACAAATATAAAATAAAACATAGACATTTCTAATAAATATCAAGATAAAAAAACATAAATAAAACATTTATAAATAACACTGCGAAAATACAAATAAATAAGAAAATTACAATTTATAATAATAATGCGAAAAAACATAAGTTACATAATTATATATTTTAATTCTCCGAATTAGAATATTCATTCCACAAAAGAAATTAAAAAAAAACAAAAAATCAGAAGAAAAAAATGTAGTATAGCTACAGTGCAACGCCAGTTGTAGCGTGCACTATAGCCCGACGCCACAATCCAGTATAACAATGACGATGGGCTGGAGCATAGGATCATCTCTAAAGTGGAGATGAATGTCATTCCAGCGATGCGTTGGAGATGGCCTTAGATCACCTAGCCCGCGAAAGGTTTATGTTTATTATTGGCATAATGATAAAAAAAAAGGGTTATTAACGTTTTATTAAATTATCATTTTGATCCTTGTTCTTTTTCGGCCATCAATGTTTCATTTTGAGATAAAAAAATCTACATAGATGAAATTGTTAATCAACAAATGTCAATACTCCAAAATAAAAATCTTTTTATCCTAAAAATAGAATGTTAAAAACCAAAATACTTCAAAAAAAATAAAAAGGACTACAGTAACTATTTATTTATACGTCAAGGGGTTATTTATTAATTTTTTAGTATCTGGCTGTTGAATTTAACCAAGGAGGATTTGTAGGAGCCGCAGTCCTAGAAGGTAACTTGTTTGTCTGTTATTACCCACCACACATACATTCTCCTGCAAGCATTGACAAGCGTTTCTATGATTAACTAATACAATTGTTGTTGCCAAGTAATCTATGATATGTCCTTTATTCAAAGCCAGAACTTGGACGGAGGATTACTGAATTCGTATGAGAAGTACTAGGGATAAGGTGTTCCAATGAAAGATTCGGACAATTTTTTATTAATGCAAAATACTGCTCATTGAAACAGATTGACTTGTTTCTGAAAAGTTCTCTACCCTAGGCTGGCCGAAATGACATCATTTTGGGAACAATGAGTCTATTGGTGGTGATTTTCAAATCTGATAGATGGGTGATAATATAAGAAATGGGGTTTCATGTTCAGGCTCGGATTTTACTTGTATTGACGTATGATGTAATAGCAGCACTTTAATTGGGTATGTAATGATGTCGGACTATAGTGTCTGAACCTTTTCCCAAGTAGTTTCATGAATGTTTGAATACCAATCATTTGTGTGTGAAAGTAATCAAATTGAATTATAAAATTTGTTTTGTAAAATTATTTGACAGTTTCTATTAGACTTCATGTTAAAGAATATATAATACTCAACTGGTCATGAAGCCCCTTAAATTAAGATACGTTTCTTTTTCAAAAAACAAATATTTTTAATTACAAGTAAATTATTTCTTCTTGAATAAATAAGGGAGGAAAAAAGAAGCAAATTTGACCGATGAACAAGATATATGGCTTGTGCCTACAATTATTCTTCTTTTGTTTTTCCCATCGCCATTTTTCATAGAACCTCAAACACAACAATTCTCTAATAATAATACGAAGAAGCAAAGCAGTCAACAATGCAATTTGAACAGAAGATAAAAAGTAGATAAATCAGAAACATATTGAGGTCAAAAAACATTAACAAAGCACAAGTATATTGGAATAAAAACATCGCAAACGCTTAAACACCACAGAACAAATCTTGTGTCCATTCTAAAAACCATCTAAAGTGTGCGCCCGATTGATGGAAAATAAATGGGTGAAGGTGATGGCACCCACCCCCACCCGACCAACAACAAAAATTAACATTGCGGAAACTAACCATAGCAGAGCTTACAGTAGATGCTCACATCTTGTCCTCGTACTCGGAAAGTGGGGTCATCTGCTCCTTCAACCCCTTCCTCTTACGGAACTCAGCAACATGGGCAGCAGCTTGAGAACCAGGCTCCAATGGATCCGATGACATCATGTCCCAATGATCAAACACACACTGGGGGAAAGCCTGTCCTGATGTTGCTGCCCTCAGAGTGCTAGAGAATCCAAAAGACTATAACGGGTATAGTGGAGTACCAGGCCTCCGCATCTCCTCAAAGACGTGCCCACGCTTCTGGTTAAGAACACTATAAATACCGCCAAGTGCCTGCTCTGGGGCTTTGATCTCCACCAAGTAAACTGGCTCAAGCAGCCTTGGCTTGGCAGTCAACTGAGAAGCATAGAAAACCCTCCTAGCAGTTGGAATGATCTGACCACCACCTCCATGGATAGCATCAGCGTGAAGAACCACATCACACACTTCAAAGCATATACCCCTCGTGTTCTCTTCAGCCAATGCACCTTCCTTAGATGCCCACTGGAACCCATCAACTACTGAATCCTTTATTTCATTCAGGTACTGAACTCCCTTACACATATCAACCACCATGTTAGGACCCGTGGTCTCGGGACCAAAACACCATATCTTCTTAGCAAGATCTTTGTCCCAACCATACTCAGCCAAAATTTTAGAATGGATCTTGGGATCATCTCTTGGACCAATACAACCTTCATCAATGGCCTCAGCCAGACCTTCCTCCAGAGGACGAGCTTCCATGTACAGACGGTTGTGCTTGTTAGGAGACTTGCTCATCACTATCCTGCAAAACCTCTCTAGGACAGTCTCACGGAATGACACAATAGGATCTAACTTGATGATCTAAGCACCACCCATAAAATCTTCTTGCAAATCTTTGAGACATATCTCAAGGTGAAGTTCTCCAGCACCAGACGATGTACTCTCCTGATTCTTCAATGGTACACAGAACCATAGGATCAGACTTGGCCAAACGCTTCAGCCCTTCAACAAGTTTGGGGCGATCAGATGCAACCTAGCACTGAACAGAAACACAAACAACAGGAGAGACAGAGAACTTCATGGCACGAATTGGGTGAGCATCAACTTCCTTCTCATTATTCAAAGTAGCATTCTTGGTGATAAATTGATCCAACCTAAACATGGCCACTGTGTTACCACAAGGCACATCCTCAACAGTTTCCTGCTTCTTTCCCATCCAGATAACAGTTCTCTGCACACTCTTTTAACATATAAATTTTTCTTCTCACCAGGGACATAGTTTGGACCCATGATCCTGACCTTCAAACCAGTTGAAACTTTGCCAGAGAAGACGCGACCGAAGGCAAAGAACCTACCCTTATCAGAAGCAGGAATCATCTTTGAAACATAGAGCACGAGAAGACCCTCAGGATCACATTTCCTGATAGCATTGGCATAGATATCATCAAGAGGACCCTCATACAAGTTCTCTACACGATATTTCTGAGCCTTACTTGGAGAGGGAAGGTGAAAGATCATCATTTCAAGGAGGGCACTGCTCACAGGAAGCCAAGTCTGCATTACACGCTTCATTGAAGCCTTCCCCATCAAGTCCTTCTCATCAGACTTCATGGCAATTTCGAGCTTTTTCAACATGGGCCAGAGCTTATCCTTCTGGTCATTCATACAAGTGTACATTATCTGCTTGATGGGTTCATAACAGAATTGTACAAATCCACGCTTGCATGTAGCAGAGCCAGTGTTCTTGGTGGTCCATTTCCTGGTAGCTGTATCGAAAAAGTTCTCACCCCCAGAGCCTTTCCATCATCTTTGCCTCATCAACTCCAAACCTCAAGGCATACATTTTAGCAAAGTTGGTCAAGGTAAAAGCCCAACCATGCGAACCAGCAGAGAAAGCAACTGTCCCCTTCTCAGGGTATACTTGAACATCACCAAGAAGAGGATCTTCATATGTGGCCATGATGACAGTAGCATTTTCAATTACTCTTTGGAATGTCTGGTAAGCCTCCTCACCATCAACCTGGATCTCAAGGAAGCACCTGTCCATCTTGTTAACAGTCAAGACAGGCCTTATCTTTGGACAGCCTCTGTTTGCACACAGACACCTTCAATACAGTCAACCACCACAAGGGAACCATCAGTAAAACGAAGAGCAGCAGTGACCTCAGATGAAAAGTCTATGTCGCAACCGTC